CCGACTGATCGTTACTCGGGATTCTTCTCGTCAGCCATGCCCATGTCCGATGCGCCAAGTGAAACTGTCGTGGATGGGCAGTTTGAACGCAGCGCCCGTGCCATAGGCCCTGCGCCGTTGTTCTGCGCGGCGAGTGTTTATGACTTTAACATCGACGCTCGCACTGAGGGCGGATATCCCTATCTGACCTACGCCTCTGGGGATATCTTCGACGTCATAGGCGAGAAGGGCGAGCTCTGGCTTGCCCGCAATCAGGACGATGCCGCTGGGACAGTTGGGTGGATCTGGAACAAGCATTTTGCCCGACTCGGCAGCTGAATCAACAACCTCACGCCATGGTTTTGATGTATCCGCCAAGTTTTTTTTTTTCAAAAAATCTGCAAGAAAACGATGAACACAAAACACAAAACGCACAAAGGTTTCATACTAACTACAGGATATTACAGGATCATATTCCATGTCTCTTCTGCCTGATTTTTTCTGATCTGTCTTCTATTTCTTCAAAATAATACCCCCTGAAGACCAGGGCAAAACAAACACGACTACACTACTTGCAATTTTGCTGCTTTGTCGCTTTGATCTGCTTTGGCTTCATTCGTCATCTCATGCTGATGATTTATGGTTTTCTTTTCTGTTAATCTCAGTTGCTTTGCCAGCATTTCCGTTGCTTCTATCTGATCTCAGTTTTGTCCGATCTCTCCTCCCTCCCATCTCGCGCATGGTCTGATCCTCTTCTTCTACTGGAGCTCTGGGATGCACGTTTAGATACCCCTCTTTCTTATGAATTAAAATTCTTTAATAAATCCTACAGACTGATCTAAATTATAAGTAATTGAACTCTGTATATCTATATCAACAATCGTAGTTTTTCTTGTACAATCCAATGTTGTCGGATATCCCTACAACATATCTTTCCCTACATATAGTTTTAGAAAAGCCGCTATTCTAGTTGAAGCGCTGTCGGAAGCGGTTCGCCTAGCGGTAAAGCCGACCCTCAAACCTTTCCTCTCGTCTCCGGGATTCTTACTTTCCTCCCATCCCTCAGACCTTTTAGACATTCTGCATCCTCTCTACGTGCGAGGTCACCTCCCTACACGCTAACTATGGGAGTTTTAAACTGGCAGAACTGGCAGAATTTGAAAGGCGGTATTTAGCGCGGTATATCTGGGTACAAAGTTTCCAAGCCAAATATTGTCCCAGATTTGGAAGGCGGTCTATTAAAGACAGAATAGTGGGGTATCCATAAAGAACACCCACCAAAGTTGTTACTATTCATTATGTAAGCAAGCATCCGTCCAATGAATATCCTTTTGGCCTTCGGGCCCCAGTCTTTTATGTTCTCGTCATAACAATATTTTGGAGGTTCCACTGTAACTACAAAAGTAGATCCATGAGTACATAAGTTAACTATTACATGAACTAGTAAATTGACCTTTCTTAACTGACACTAGTTCCAAACCGCCTTGAGTTCTATTTAGTGTATTGTCACCCGCATGTGTGCATCTTTCAACCCATTTACCAACTTTCAATGGCTTCACAAGGCATCCGGGATGGCATCACAAAGCCCGTGGTCCCTTCGTTTCCCTCCTGAAATGATTTCATTGATTGTGTCCTTCTTGCCAAACAAGATGTCAAGTCCTTGCGCTTGACATGCAAAACACTCGGCGACATAACGCCATTCTCCTTGTCACGCGTATTTCTTTCGGCCAATTCGTTAAACATTCAAGTTTTCCGCGCCGTAGCGGACCACCCCCAAAATTTCGACACCAGATCACGGAGATCATTTGGGACGACGGACGACGCACGTTTTGTCTCCGCGCTATTGGTTTGGGAAGGAGTGCATCCATGGATCGAACCCCCAAAGCTTGCAAACCAACCCCAATGAAGGATGTCCTAACTAGTCCGTGGAGGAATGCGAAGAGAACCGCTATATGATGAGACATCGGAAATCCGGTGACGTGGACCGACCCGACCATGTTGCTCGGAAGAACCAGATGGACGCAGAAATGTCTTTGAAAGCCTGCTGGGAGTATTACTCGTAAATATTGAATGATCAGAAAGCTGTGATCGAATATCAAGAAGACGAAAGAGCCTTTCTTTACGGCCTGGAGCGGTTCCCACGGCTAAAAAGAGTAACCGTTACGCCTGCGGCTCACGGCGGGCCTTTTCTCTCCGCTGTACGAGACACCTATGATCCGAGCATTTCCATACGGATTTAACTATCCTATTCCGCGAGGATGGCACTTTGAGCAAGAAGAGGGTCAAATTGCCAGCCCGTTGCGGTGGTTAGAGGAGGGGCTCGAATCGCTCTTCGCATTCTGTCACAGGTTGAGAAGCACAACGTTTCTGAGCTGAGCTTCGATTCAACGCAACTCCCCACCGGAATAAATTATATGATCTTTGACCGGCCTTGTGAAGAATACAATCATTTTGCGGCTATCATGAAACGTCCAGGGTTTCGGCGCCTTCATCTGTCCTTGCTTACGGGCACTAGTGGGGTTTATATTTGGGCGGAATTCCGAAGCGGATACTTTCATCAAGCTGTTAGCCTAGCCAAAGGATTGACTCACATCTATGTGTCGACTACATTTGATGATGGATCTTCAATGGGGGATCCACCTATTCCTCTGAAAAAGGTTTTCCCTATTAAGGAATGGCCAAAGCTATGTCATTTGGGGCTTTCTCGTTTCAGCGTGGGCATGTCAGAATTGATCGATCCACTCAATTCGGTACCAGCCTCATGGCGTTCTATCGAATTACAATTTCTCCAGTTCCCTCATGATGAATTTTGTTTGTCTGGGCTCTTAGAGAGGATGCGGGAGGAACTAAATTCGGCCAAGAGAGACCAGCCATTGAAACCAACCATCACAATCGCTATGGAAGGTTGTCACGGTAGGGCCGGGGGGAGCGCCAGGGAGGTTCATTAAGCTTACAGACGAGTTGGAAGGTTTTCTCTATGGCTCTGGTGAGATTCCGTGGACGGACAAGATATACGCCAACCCAAAGACGGAATGGGGACGAAACATGACCTTTTTGAAGCGGAGTAGACTCGGCCCAACGTCAGTGTCCAAGATCTGGCGAAATTGGGAATTATTTATTGGGGGAATAGACCAAGCGGACCTCCAGCCACCATCAGAGGCCAGGAATCGCCATCCTGGCCAACCTTCACCCCAGGGGCTTATCGATTGGGTCCGCTCGATTGGCTGGTCGCAAGATGAAAGCCGACTCGCATCAGCGTCCTAGGGTAAGACCGTCAGGATCTGGGATCCGACCACCGGCCAGTGCGAATCAGAACTAAATATCAACTCTCCCGACTTCGTCCAGTTTCATCAAGTTAATTTCAATGATCTACACACATAGGATCCACCGGTCCTATCACGTCCATTCCTCACTATTCGACCTTGCCGGGACAATACAGGTTTTGCCTAAATGACGACCATCCTTGGATAACATTTGATGGAATCAACCTCCTTTGGTTGTCTGCGACAAATTTGGCCATCGGCTGTTGATGTGGAAAGAGTATCGGATTTACATATGTAGATATAGATCGTAATGAGTGTTCATCCCCGGTAAGCTGTTGGGTATGAAGTGCGTTGACAAACAGCTCCATATCGCATTGTGCCTGCTCATGGCAATGTCTCATAATGTACTTAGTTTCCTTCCCAAGTGATAATACGAGTAGAAAAAGGCATTGAGTTGATCAGACAGAATGAAATCTTCAAGAACTCAAGGATAATGCAGCATCATGTGACCTCCACATGTGACGCAGCCCGATCAACCCTTGAGTGCCTGAGTCCAGTTCTTTTGAGGATCTGTCCCTGTGTTTTCATAACTACCTCCTGTCCCTGCGTTTGAGATTGCATCGTTCCAAGGGAAAAATCATCGGTCTTACCCTCCCCTGCACGGCCACTGCCTAATCTACTTACTCCCAACCTTGGCATACTCCTCGACATACTCCTCGACCAGCGATTGTCCATAAAGTGCAATTGAAACTAGCATTAACCTTCAAACATTCAATCTATCCTCCGCGTCTCCCACTTCTCCGCCACCCAGAAGCATAAGGCTGACGGCCTCCCCCTCCGAAGCGCCACCCAATCCCGAGAGCCAGACCGGTCCCACTTCCTCTCCGCCAGCGCAGAAACGGGGGACACATTCCAGTCTGTTACGCGGGACATTGCCGACGTCTCGTTCGCCTCTGGCTTTGCTCGCCACTGGATAAACGAGGTTGCAGATTGCATCCCATTTCTATTGTGCGTGGGAAATCCAGAACACTCAAATCGCACAAAGATCTGCCCCGATTATCGCGATTGTGGGGTCTGGCTTGGCTATCTGAGGAGCCTGGCACATATTGCGCGTTCTCGACTGTGGCGCAGTGTATAGCTTTTCTTGCCACAGCTTTCACGGTATTGATATTCTAGCGGTTTGACCTCCGGTTTGTGATCAACTTCAACGCGCATCATATTGCCATCATGTTGCGCAAGGTGCGCGGGCGGTTTGGGGATAAGGTGAGTTTGGCCTCATGAGGCATTGGCGGCGCGAGTACTGACTTGCGCAGTTGAATCCCGATGATGCCTTTTTGAGTTGTAAGTGTCTAGGATAGAGCATGCCGCTTTGGTGATCTGGAGACAGTATACTTACAGGTCGCCTTTGGGTGCTTATAGATTACGATGTGCGATGTAGGAAATCAATCCCCGAAGCGAGAAAAGGTTCTGGGTGGCTAACGAGCATGCAGTGACAAGAGAGGACATGCAAACTCTTAAGAACGACTGGCTCACAGATAATGTGGGTTTGAATGGCGAGATAATCCTTCTAGCTTGGGGCATATGAGCTAATTTGTCATAGATCATCTCATTTTGGGAGGAGTAAGTCCCTAGAGTCGGTCTGACATACTTCGCAGTACCGAACATGGCACTGATCTCTGACCTTCTTGCTCTAGATATCTCGAACATGAATTCCTTTCACGATACCAGACCTCCAATATCATCCTTCTCCGCCCCAGCATGTCATTCATGATCCTCCAAACCCCCGATCCACGCACCCTCCGCGAAGCGCTCCCGGACTTCAGTCGAGCCACCCATGTCTTCCTCCCCATCAACGATTGTCGCAATGTCTCCCAAGCAGAAGGAGGCACGCATTGGTCCCTCTTGTTGATCTCGGTCGTCGACCGCATCGCATTCCACTATGACTCGCTATACCAAGGAAACGTCTGGGAGGCAGACACGGTGACTCGCAAATTTGGATATCTCCTAAACATGCCCATTAGGTTCTTGCATCTAAACGACTCGCCCCAGCAAGACGGCGGCAGCGACTGCGGTGTATACGTGTGTATGAACATGCGGCATCTTCTGATGAAGCGGTTGCTGATGGCGAGCGCACATGAGAAGGTGAGTATGAGTCTCGGAGGGCGGAAAGTCGACGCCAATGCGTCTCGCAAGGAGATGGCCAAGATCATCGAAGGATTCCGAAAAGAAGGCGAGCGCCGACGATCGTATGTCACCCTTGATCAACTTAGCTGCACAGTGCAGTAGGGGAAACAGAAGCAAGAAGCTAATATTGGAATTCTTCAGAACAAGCGCCAGCCCTATGGGAAAGAAATCAAGGAGTCCTCCACGTGTTGATTGATTGGTCTTTCCTTGGTTATTCTTATGAGTTTACGTCTTTTTATGGTTCCTTTGAGCACTTCCAGACTCTTTTTCAAAAGACAAAGCTTCATCAAAAACATGTGGACATTACATTGACGATCGTGTACTTACCAGCGTTGCATTACTTGACTGCGTATGTACCATGAGCTGCATAATAACCTTCAATGTACGTTGTATTGTACAATCTATTTCTATGAACTTAGGTCCATTTGTTTCTCGAAGGAATTTACGTACCTCGACAATACCTATACCAACAACTTAGCGGTGCCTTTGACCTTCATCATCCGAAGTTGATCCCAGTCCCAGACGTTGCAATAAGCTGGGGTGATGGGGGTTTCCCTCGGGCCATAGTAGTTCTGGCCTTCTATCTTTAGGGCTCGATTATGGCATTTTTTGAAGGCTTGAAACGGCTGAGTATAATGTTGCTTTGGCAAAGTGGCGACTAAATTCAGAGGAGGCCGAGTGCGAGGGATGCCTACAGCTTTCCTATAGAGTAACGGGGTAGCGGTGTACGCAGTACTGTTTGCAACCTTACGGATGTAGTTTTGAGGCAGACGTGCAAGTTGATACACGTTGAATATACATACATACCTACATACGTATGTAGAGAAGGGAGTCAAAACCGAATAAAACAAGTAGAAGTTCAATCTTATAGGACTTACGGAGTATAAAATTCCAGTTCATCTCTCTTCAAGGTAGCTCCATATCTTATCGCGGTGCGGAGCCAAAGCCCAGCGCAACGTCAATTCCCCTCGTTTTCCGAATCCACTTTTCTTCTTCATCTCCAACTTATTGAGAGTGACCCTAAAACCCAATCGGGCTGAACCGGGTAGATGCCACAGAACTCGAGAGGCGGCACCGAGCAGAGCGGTAAGCAATCGAGCGGCAAGAGGAAGCTTTCTGAGGAAGGAGAGCCGTCGCAGCCGCGATCGCAACAAACCATCTCCGAGCTCCTCTCCCAGAGGTATTCACCCGATAGCCTCGATCCGCAAACCAATAAGCGTTCTCGTCTGTCGTCTCCCTCACGCTTTCCCTCAAACCAAATCCCGCATAAGATGCATCCAACTTCCGGTTCCCCGCCTAGGAATGGCACGCCTGGTCGGGGATTGTCTGGGCCAAATGGTCCCATCAGACCCCAAGGCTTGAACGCTAATGTCCGCCAAAACAACTTTTCTCCTCATACCGGCGCGAAAAAGCTCGTCGTCAAGAACCTCCGTACCGGACCGCGGCTGAACCAGGAATCATATTTCGATAAGGTGTGGTCGCAGTTGGATGCGGCTTTAACGGCCATTTTTGATGGCAGGAAACCCGAAAGTTCTCTGGAAGAGCTATACAAGGGTGGGGAGAACGTGTGCCGCCAGGAGCGGGCAGCTTTGTTGGCTAAGAAGCTTCAGGATCGGTGCAGAGAGTTTGTCAGTGGGAATATGCGCACGAATCTTGCTACCAGGGCTGGAGGTAGCACTGATATCGGTACATTGCGGGCAGTGATTGATGAATGGGCGGCCTGGCACTCGAGGCTAGTATGTGGCAAGGGAATATCTCGAATGGAGCTCACAGCTGACTTTTCCTCTCTCCCAGGTTACTATTCGCTGGATCTTCTATTATCTCGACCAGTCATTCCTATTGCATTCCAAAGAACAACCGGTGATCCGTGAAATGGGATTGATCCATTTCCGGTCATACATCTTCTCCGATGCCAGTCTGAAACCAAAGATTTTGAAAGGAGCATATGATTTGATTGAGGCGGATCGAGGGGGATTTACAAAAGCATTGAGTGATTCAACTTTACTAAGCGATGCTATGGATCTTTTCCACAACCTTGATGTCTATGCCAGCGACTTTGAGCCTTTATTCATGGCCAAGTCCGAGGAGTTCGTGAAGGAGTGGGCACAACAGCAAGCAGCAGGATCACTAGCTGCATACGTTGAGCATTCTCATCAGTTGATCGAACGTGAAGTCGAACGGTGCGGGTTCTTCTCTTTCAATCGAAGCACGAAGCTCAAACTGTCCGAGCTCCTGGATGAGACCCTAGTTACACAGCGAACGGACATGTTGACCAGCGAAAACGAAGTGCTTGACTTGATGCGAGCCGGCAATAAGACCGCCTTGAAACAACTATACGGCTTGCTTGACCGGCGAGACCTTAGTCTCGAATTGAAGCCTGCATTTAAGAAGTACATCATCGAGGAGGGAGAAGGCATCGTGTTTGATCAAGAAAGGGAGGCCGACATGGTCATTCACCTGCTCCAATTCAAGCAAAAGGTTGATGATATTTGGACGAGTGCTTTCGAGTCGAACGAGGAGTTGGGCGACGCGGTCCGCGAAGCTTTCGGTGCCTTTATGAACCGTGGTAAGAAGATGGACTCTACAGGTGGCACCGACAATCCCAAGTCAGGCGAAATGATTGCCAAATACGTGGATAGGCTGCTTAAGGGCGGTTACAAGCTGCCACCGGGCCGTAATCCGGAGGAAATAAGCCTGATGTCCGACGATGCAGAGCTTGACCGACAGCTTGATCAAGTTCTAGACCTCTTCCGGTTCGTACATGGAAAGGCCGTCTTCGAAGCCTTCTACAAGAACGACCTTGCCCGGCGTCTCTTGATGAAACGAAGTGCGAGCAACGATGCGGAAAAGAGCATGTTAGCTCGTTTGAAGAACGGTTTGTCTCATCGAAAATCCTACTTTTATGCGCTTTGTCTAATGTTCGGTCAGAATGCGGGTCGAATTTTACTCATAACCTCGAGTCTATGTTTAACGATATGGACACTGCTAACGATGAAATGGCGGCCTTCAAACGGTCGCAGCAGGAGGAGCGGAAGGGCCGGTTCGAATTCGAAGTCAACGTGCTCTCTGCCGCCTCATGGCCGACATATCCTGATGTCCCCGTGCGGATTCCATCGAAGATTGCACGCTCGATCAACAGGTTCGAGACGTTCTACCACAACAAACATACAGGGCGCAAGCTCACCTGGAAACATCAACTGGCGCATTGTCAGCTGACTGCAAACTTCCCCCTTGGCAAGAAGAATCTGGTGGTCAGCTCATTCCAGGCGATTGTACTGCTACTATTTAACGATATCCCCGATGGCGAGAGCATGCAGTACCCCCAGATCCAAGAAGCGACCGGATTGTGTAAGTGGATCTACAGCGCCCAAACAGTCGAACAATCCCTAATATGACACACAGCGGACCCGGAATTGAAGCGAACGCTCCAGTCTCTCGCCTGCGCCAAGTACCGAGTCTTATCCAAGAACCCCAAGGGCAAGGAGGTGAACTCCAGTGACCAATTCTCGTACAACAAGCATTTCAGCGACAAGCAACTGCGCATCAAGATCAACCAGATCCAGCTGAAGGAGACCAAAGAGGAGACCAAGACGACACACGAGCGGGTTGCGGCCGACCGCCATTTCGAGACACAAGCTGCCATCGTGCGCATTATGAAGAGCCGCAAAACCCTCAGCCACGCCGAGCTGATTGCGGAGGTTATCAGTGCTACTAAGAACCGGGGTGTTCTTCAACCTGCGGAGATTAAAGGGGAGATTGAGAAGTACGTAATCCTCGTTACTACGCCGTCTTCCCCGGTTATTGTGTCTAACATTGTTTTTTCCTTTCTAGGTTGATTGAGAAGGAATACATCGAGCGCAAAGAAGGCACCAATCATTACAGTTATGTGTCATAAGGCATTGTCATAAGGCATTATGTTTACATGTTGAGAGTAGGTACGGAGTACTTTTATTCACTGAATGCACACATTCGTATTTGGTTTATGTTTGATTCTACTACATTATCCTGGATAATAGGCCACCAGATAGTGTAATGGGATCAACAGAATCGCCCACTACCCAGATCCTACTTTGAATCTTTTATTAAAGTACATAGTCCTATCCGGAATTGATTACTCCGTCTGCCTTGGAGAAACGAAGTAGCTCCGGTTCCAAGCCGCTTAAATTAACCTCGGCGCCGGTTAATCGAGGCGTCAAAGCCACCAAAATACGAGAACTCACGTAGTTGGACGAAAAAGGAAATCCGTGCCACCATTGTATATATGTTGTACTCATCGAGGCTCTGTAATACCGATGATATTAGATATGGAAATTATAAGATAATATCGTGAATCATCATCATTTCAACAGATTAACGGCCGCATCTGATACCCACAATTAGGACCCCAACCCTATGAGACGATGTTCAAAGGAACACCCCATGACCTAGACCTACACATATATTGACCCCACACCACCCCTGGATCTGACAGCAGATCCGAGTCCGGATGCCCCTTTGTGTTGTAGATCCTTTTTTTTTCGAGGTCTCATGATGTCTCCACTTAGGAATTGCGGTATCCCAGTATTCGTCCTGGTGGCAATTGGAATTGACATTGAAATGCTATACAACATATTGTAGGTATGTTTGGGTATTATAGAGGACATCTTAATGAAAGCCGAAGACCGAAGCCTGTAAGCTGTAATCGCTCCAGGAATATGTCTACAACTCATACAAGCTCAGCAAGTAAGAGGTGGTAGGTGCACCAGGAATGCCGCGGAATGCCGGCATACCTACCAAGTTGAGGTTCAACAAAAGTCCACTCGGGCGAGAAGTGGACCAGAGTACATGGCCCAGCTCTGGATGCATCGAATTGTGCATTCCAAGAATGTTCTTTGGCGGTGAAATAGCCCATTTGGGCGATAGAAAGCGCCATTCTGGTATGTGGTGCCTGGCGGGATATCCCTAGATGGTAAGCCGAAGCGCAGATCCAGTTGGATGTTCATGTGAGCTTGAAAAAAAGGGAAAAAAGAAAAGAAAGACAAGGAAAAGGAGTACGTACTCCATTGTAGGTACACGATGTACTCAGTTCCTTAAAGGAGAGTGTGCCCTCTATGTTATAGAGTTGAACACGTACCCTGTACTCCCACACTCGACTTGTCTTTGTGAGTCCCAACGATATTTACTAAATATATACAAACCTAGCATCCCAAGAGACTAACCCACTTTTTCCCCGCGTTCGAAGACCCTCAAGTCCAATCCGAGAGCTTTTCGCTGGCGTCGACTAGGTTTAAGTCTTGGAATCTCGGGAGCCTTGATATATCCCATTGGCGAGCAGTCCCATTTGCTTGAATTACTTCGGATTACTTGGAAACACATTTATACCACGGCCCTCCTAAATTCCCAGATCAAAATCCGTGATCTTATTCTCTTTTTTTTTGGAATCCAAGATCCATATATCCAACCATATATCCACTAGTTGAAACTGTCCACTTTTTGATCAACAATGCAGAGTACGCTCCACCTCCTCCAGACCTTCCCCACAAATCTGACCATTTCCCAGCCAAACATTTCTTCTCCGACCCGAACCACCTGGTTCTCACAGCACTTAACTCGCTTACACTCACAAACCCATCTCTGGCCCTGGACCGACAGCACAAGATCATTTTCCGCCGTCCAGATGCGCCCCGCAGAGCAAACAAGGTTTCCATCGTGACCGGCGGCGGTTCTGGCCATGAACCGGCATTTGCAGGCTTCGTCGGTCACGGGCTCTGCGATGCCTCGGTCGCAGGTACTATCTTTGCCTCGCCGTCTGCCGAGCAGATCCGCAGAGCGGTGATCGACCGTGTGCCCACTGATAACGGCGTGCTGATCCTTCCCATGAACTATACCGGCGATGTTCTGAACTTCGGTATGGCCACGGAGAAGTCCCGTGTTGCTGGTATCAAGACGGAATTTTTCGCTATCAATGATGACGTTGGCGTTGGTCGTCATAAGGGTGGGAAGGTCGGTCGCCGCGGTATTGGCGGCGGTGTATTGATTCTAAAGATGGTTGGTGCTTTGGCTGAGGCTGGGTGAGTCGATACATGTCGCATGTTTTTACATGCTATACTTCTTTCACAGGAATCAAATCAATACTAACATCCGCCTTCTGCAGCGGCTCCCTGGATGACCTCTACGCTCTAGCCCAGCTAGCCAACGCAAACCTAGTCTCACTAGGATCATCTCTGGAACACGTCCACGTGCCAGGCCGCGGTGTACCCGAAGACACGATCCCGCACGGCGAGGTCGAAGTCGGCATGGGAATCCATAACGAGCCGGGTTCGCACCGCGTGAAATTCGACCTTGTCGAGTTGGTCGAGGGCATGTTGCTACAGCTACTCGACCACAACGACCCAGACCGCTGCTACGTGACCCGCAAGCCGGAGGACCAGTTCGTGCTGTTAATCAACAATCTCGGCGGTGTCAGCCCGCTCGAGCTGGCCGGCATCACAGACGAAGTCTACCGTCAGCTCAAGCGCGACTACCAGGTCAACATGGTCCGCGTGATCCAGGGCACTTTCCTGACCAGTCTGAATGGCCTCGGCTTCAGTATCTCGTTGATGAAGCTAGTTGATCCAGGTCTGGGCGTGAAAACCACTATGCTTGAGCTGCTCGACGCACCGGCTGAGGCAGTCGGATGGTCTGCCCCAATTAATACCTCTACCTGGGAAAACAACCTTAACGCGGACTGTGTCGATCTGAAGACATCCAATCTAACCGAAGACATTCACAGCAACCTACAGCGTAAGTTTTTTTTCCCATCACCATCAACCCCCTCCATCTTCTCCAATATCTAAAAAACTAATCCAAACCCTAGTCGACCCAACCCTCCTCCAAAAAGCCCTGGGTGCCGGCCTACAACGCGTAATCAACGCCGAACCCGAAGTAACACGCTTCGACACAATCGTCGGCGACGGCGACTGCGGCATCGGCCTAAAGCGCGGCGCCGAAGCAATCCAAAACCTCCTCACGAACGCTACCCCACCCCTAACAAATGACATCGTCAGCACAGTGGCGCGAATCGTAACCGTCGTCGAGAACGTAATGGACGGGACATCCGGCGCGATCTACGCTATTTTCCTGAACGCCCTAGCACACGGCTTGCTGGCGCAGGACACTTCTTCGCCGACGGCCATCACGACGGATGTGTGGGCGAAGGCGTTGAAGTCTTCTTTCGCGGCATTAGGAAAATACACGCCTGCTAAGCCTGGTGATCGGACGCTTATTGATGCGCTTGCGCCATTTGTGGATTCGTTGCTTGAGACGGGTGATGTGAAGGTCGCGGCGGCGGCGGCGCAGCAGGGGACGGAGTCCACGAAGGCTATGAAGGCGAGTCTTGGGAGGAGTGTCTATGTCGGTGGGGAGGGGGAGTGGATTGGGAAGATCCCTGATCCTGGGGCTTTTGGGTTGTCGGAGTTTTTGACGGGGCTTGCTGAGGGTCTTTAGGTGCGGGTTTGGGGCTGGGGTGTGATGGATGTGGTTTTTGGGTGATCCTTCGTATACATAGCGACATACCTGGCCCCACTCTTTCTCTTTTCTTGTCCATGGTTGTGTCTTAATATAGCTTGATATGGTCATTTGATGATAATGATATAATTATTTGGTTGATACATTGGCTGCTTGTAGTCTCAGTAGATCGAAGAATAAGCTACATCAATCTACCTTTCTGGGCTGTGGCTCGACGAGCCCTAACATGCAAGAGCGAGACATCTCGGAATAAGGAGCTGGGGGGAAATACGGAAGACAAGATAAGATCTATGAAGGTACCTAGGAAACCTCGAGTTTATGGACATCTACTGAGGTCTGATCAGATATTTCTATAACATTCATTTTTAACCAGTTCTGCTCCAGCCCTGGAGGTTGACGCCGCCCGAGGATTCCCTCTACAAAAAGCAACGGGTCTAGCAGCCCGCGCAAAGAACTGAACGCCAACAGGTTTTCTTTTTAGTCCATATCCCCGACGATCAAAAATAAGACAAGATCAATTCAGAATAAGTCTCGTGGATGCAACGGTTACTTTGGGACAAGTAACCATACCAATTACCAATCAAGACGATAGTAGCATCGGTCAATTGTGTTCTGGCGCGGACCAGAAGCAAGGGAGGAAAAGCGGGATGTGAAGGGAAAAAGAAAAAGAAAAGGGTATCGAGATCGATTACATGATAACTCGCCCATGGAAATTGTTCATGGGTTCGAGATGCTGTGCAAATAGCAGGATATCGATCATCCCTTAGATCGATTATATCAAGATCATGTCAACGTGGGGATCAAAGTGTGCGAGAGGAAAGTGTGATGGGGTGCTCAGCTGAGCAGGATGAGGATGACAGAGTCGCCACGAAGGAACCTAATATGACGCCATAAGGTTAGAGACTGTTTCAAAGATAGGAAAGAGGAAAAGGAACAAAGATCTTTTCCCAGTTTGATGTACGTACATCTTGCTGATGAAACGGTCCTTGTTCACGCCCTTGCCCTTGGCACCCTTGGGCTTCTCGGTCCACATCTCCTTGACATTCTCAAGGACCATGTTGCAGTGTCGGTCAAAGGCCTTGACACGAGCCAAAAGCTTGCGGTTGTTTCGGCACGAGATCAGGACTTGGGTGTGAGTGCGGGTGGCGGTCTGCAGGAGAGACAACGGGCCGGCGGTGAGCTCGTGTTCCTCTACGAGGGCGACCTCATATTCTCTGTTGAGATATAAGAAGCAAGATTAGTTTTTTTCTTCTCTGTATGTACTTTGTGCAGCTTGCGTAAGAATGTGAAGGAGTCGGTCGCAAAGTTTCCGATATGCGGGCGTGTAGGCAAACCCCGCAGCCCGAGGATCAGGCAGAAACTTCCGAGGTCAAGGGATCATGGATTACTCAGAATGAGAAAGACCGCATGGGAAGGGAGGGGGGCAAATCCAATATAATGGGTGGACGTACGTGAGCTCGCTCTTCGGCTTGTTAAGAAGGTCTCTGTTTGGATTGTTAGCTGATTGGTCCCAGAGAGAGCTATGAGTCATTGATAGAGTAACGTACTGAATCTGGGGTTCGGGAGCGGCTGACATGGTGGGCATAAAAAGGTCGTTGAGGTCAAGAGATGCCGTTGATGCAGCAGTGTGACAATCGAAGTTGGCGGAGAGCTCAAGTCACGTGAAAAGTTCTGGCAAACACCTGAGGAAGAACTGAACACCTTACGATTCAGGCATAAATTAGAAATCAGGCACCAATTCCCAGCCATTTCCCGAGGTCGCGATTGGCTGCAGTCACGTCGCGTCACGCTTGTTTGGAGATCTTTCGAGATAGCTTTGACCCGCGCATGCAAGGCTTCTTAACCTCATCCCTTCCTCACTTTTCTCTCTTCTACTTTTGGCTGCTCGTGCAGAGCTAGTGGAGAGACTATTGCTGGTTTTTCCTGTCTAATTGGTAAGAATTGGCTTTTCCCTTTCTAGCGTCTATGCTTTCCCTCTTCGTGGACATGCAAATCAATTGCTAACATTCCTGGCCTGCAGAAAAAAGACCCCTCCACTACCTGCTCCTGCATAACCCACCCATTCTCCCGGTCGACGAGAACCCAGATATGCACTGCTGATCGGCTGGCTCGCTAATACCTCCCGGTTCATTCCCGATCTCGAGTGAAAGGGCTTTCTTTAATCCTCTCTCCCCCCGTCTTTCTACCTGTCAACATTCTCGATCCCCGAGTCTCATACCTTCGATCATACTGGAATACCCTTCGCTTTATCTTTAATTACAATCCAGAATTTGGTCCACCATTTTGCATGGTGGGCAAACAAAGTCTGATGAGATGGAATCTCAGGACGGTATCGATGTCCGCCCTATGAGGCGTATGTTTTCCCCTACCGTTCTAATAGGCCAATTGGCTGGCACTAAATTGATTATCCTGCAGTGAAAGTTCTTTACACATTCGACGACGAAAATAAGACCAATTGCCTCGCTCGGTGGCCACACGTGCTCGACATCCAAACAGCCTTTCTAGACGAGAACACGCCGGTTGGAGTGATTGAGTTGAAAACATGCATTCAGGCAATCGTCTCTGCTAGGTTTGGCTTCCTTATCCCCGGTTGACCAAAATAGCATACTTACGCACTTCCTTGTTCAGCCCGGAGCTTGTGGGTCAATTAGGAAGGGATTATACTGTCTATGCCTATGACTATTCCGAATTCGAAACCCCTCTTGTCGGCCAAGGCATGCTTTCTGGGGTGCTGGCCACCTTCTCATCGACACCCGAGACACCCAACCAGCAGTCGAAGACGATGATTACTGGTCGAGTTTGCAAGAGCCCTCTTAGTGGTCTCTTCTCCAAAGGTGCTCAAGAGACGTTGGAGGTGAAACTCCGGCTGGTGCCTGTCCCAACCGTCACTCAGAGTGAGTACTTTGCCAGCATGCTGAAGCATCGGAAGTTGACTAATGGCAATTCAGGCGACTTTGACACACAATCATGGGCAAGTTTTGTTCGTCAAAACCCCGCCCTCCTGGAATCCTCAAGAAGCCAAAGCCACAATGACAACGTCGGGTCTCCGATGCATCAATCTGGGATTGAGAGATTCCACCAGCTCTTGAGCGAAGGCTCCACGCCACGCGAGTTCGCTACATTCCACCACAATGGATCGGTCCGCTCGGTATCGCCTTCGCACTCATACGCCGGCAGTCGAGTGTCAACACCTGGTGGATGTCGAACGCCAGCTCATCATCAATCTTACCCCAAGCAGAGCATTCCCCATAGCGATATGATTCGCCCGTCCTCAAGTGCCTCTATGCGAGACTGCGACAACCAGACCCAACTTTCACACGTCTCGCAGAACAACCTTCGAAGAGGGTCCATTCAGTCAGGATATGGCAGTGGGGATGAAGAATCAACGGAGGCCCCAGCCCGGAAGAGGGCCAAGGTGTATCAAGCAAACTGGCCCGGAAAGTCAGGTATGAACATCGAAAGACAACCAAGTTCGCTTCGGGTTGCAGCCAGCACGGCAGCCTCTGTACGAATCCACCGTCCAACCCCGGTGAACCCTGCTCTCACGGCCGAGCATTCCCACGAAGAGCCCGTCCGCCCACCCACCCCCATATCTCGGCCATCTGATTTCCCCCGTCGAAGCCGACCCACGGGCAGCTTATTGCGGGAGTCGTCGAGCATTAGCATTGCCTCGTGTCCTGCTGAGTACACTTCTCCGTACTGTATGAGCGATGATATCCTTACCACAGACGCTGGCGGTCCCTCTCCTGAGGATACTCGCTACCAGGGTCTCTTTGAGCCATCTTTCAACATGCCATCATCGCCTCCAGTTTTCGATAGCCGGTTACCAAATAGATCAAGCCCTGTCTTGCCTACGATGTCTCTGGACAATGACTCCGGCTTCATGAGTGCAGGACTGGATGAAATCATGGACGATGAAACTGTTATTCCCTTAGACGACCCCAGAATGGAAGTATCTGGTGGGATAACCCGGGACAAATGCTCTGTTCGCGCTACCGTGCAGGCAAGCTCTCCGGTGAGCATGGCCAGTGCTGCTCAGGGGACCAACAATGATCCTCTGCCCGTCGATGACAATCCAACGGAGCAGGCTGCAAAGCAAGCGCCGCATCCGATAGCGCCTTCTCGCCCCTCTCAATCCCGTCCCGCATCCCGTCCCGCCGCAGCTACCGCATCGAGACCTTCTTCCAGCTCTGGCACAAAACGCTTGGCACCGAAACCGCTCGCGCCGGCGCCACAAATCTTCCACAATGAAGTTCCCCAAATGTTTCGCGCAATCCCCGCTAGCGACCCTATTATTCCTCCCCGCTCTGCTGGGCCTGTGGATGTCACTTTCATGCCGTGTGAGACAGCTACTTCCAGTTCTAAGCAGTCAAAACAACCGTCGAAGCCAAAGTCATTGCCAAAGCAGGCAGCCAAGGCGGTGCCCAAGAACATCAAGGCACGCTTGGACAATGCTATTCTCAACGGGTTGATTCCGCCGTATTGCGAGAATTGCGGCTCCATCGAAACCCCCAGCTGGCGGCGAGCGTGGGTGAAAACGGTTAAGGGCGGCGAGAGCCTTGCAGAAGATATGATGAAGTCTTCCCCCATGCTCTATTGGGAGGCTGTGGATCGAAACGGCAAGGGTGAAGTGCAATGTTTCAAGATCTACAAAAAGGCTCTCGAGCAGGACGATAGTGATTGGGATCAGATGACCTTCTGCAATCCTTGTGGTTTGTGGCTCCACAAATTCAAACAAATGCGCCCGGAAGACAAATGGACCAAGCCAGGAGCACCGAAGCCTGCTAAAAAGAAGAACAAAAAGCGTCCTTCGAGGAACCGCGCAGAGGGCCAAGCCAAGTCCTGCCCTGCTGCCAGAACTCGCAGCAAGGCTGCACCAAAGAAACCTTCGGCTTCCTCTCCGGCACCCACTGAAGCGTCTTCTGTCCATCCGGATGGGGAAACTCCCCGACTGGACGATGACGACGATCAGGACGGGGAACCGGATTATTCGCCCAACGAGTCTCGAGGCACCAGTGCCGAGTCGGAAGGGACATTTGATACCCCAGGACGCCGTTGGTCCAAGGAGGACGCCAGAGAGGAACTGTCGCGTGCCACTAAGTCTAGCCCAATGAGCCGTGCGCAAGGCCGCTCTGCTCCAATGACAGATGCCAACAGTCACACCCCCAAGCCTTTGAGAAGGTCACTTTTCCAGAATTCCCAGAATGATGGACCTCTGAAGGAGCTTGATTCTTCCATGGTGAACAGCTGCTCTCCACGTCGCAGCCCTCGTATTGCCTCCACAAAGGATGACAAGCCGGTTCAGCGGAAGGAGAACCTTGCACCCACCCTGGGTGATGACCTCGATGATCTGTTCGAAAGTCCTTCCATTGGATTTGATTCAGCAAGCCCTACTCCCCGCCGACGGAACCCGCGGATCAACGCGATTGACAAGCGTTTGTCTTTCCCCGCAAACTCTCCAAGCCTCAATAAGCGCAAGGATCTAGGCTCGGTTATGTCTCCAGCTCGACTGTCCGCCGAGCGCCTGCAGCGTATCCAGTCAATTCACGGAAGTCCTCAGTCGTCACCGCGGCAACAGAAGTCCCCGGCTAAGCAACAGTCTTTGGCGCCACAGCCTGCCGACAACAGTCTTCCGGGAACCTTCGAGTCCCTTGATGGCATGATGCTCGATATTTTCGATGACGCCGATAAGGCTGATGCTTTCTTCCAAATGGAGAACGACAGGTTCGCCGGTGACAACTGGGCGGAGTGGCTTCCAGCGGACTACGTCTCCCCTACTGGATCTTGCGAAACCCCTGCCAACGAGCTGCTCAACGCTCTCTTCTCGGACAACCCCAATGAGAAAGACAACTTCAACCCTGAGCTCCTCCCTTTCAACTTCAATGATGTTGTCATTCCCGACTCCGGATTCTTCAGTTCGGATGCTCTCACCACCGACCCGCCCAAGAGCCAACCCGCTGGTGATCATCCCGAAACCCAATAGGCCACCTCCCTTGTCTAAGACCGGGAGCTTTACTACATGTCAACCCAATCATGTTTGCTTTTTTGCTTTTTTATTTTTGCTGTTTATTAGCGACGGCGTTCGGTTTATGGGTTGATCTCGTTGCATACAGGCAACGGATCCTGACTTCGACCTTGAGATTTATGGCCTTTTCTTATTTGTTCAAACTGATGACCTGGAGTACCCTTGACGGGACTCCGATATGCATGTGCTGTGCCTTCTGGTGGGTGTATTCCCCTGAAGTGGAAGTGGTGATATTTGTTAGGAGGGATAATATCCTCCCTATGTTAGCTTTTATGATAGCACGAAATACCAAACCAAAAGCCAAAATAACCGATATCCTGGCTTACCGTAGACTCCGTCACTGAGCATTAAACAATTATAGTGGCGTCTAGACACATGCCACAACCAGTAACCCTGAGAGGTAGAAAAGGCAAGAGCAAAGGCCGTCCATCTTAGGAAGGTATGAAAGGCCTCCCACCACCCTCTTCCTCTTCTCTTCTTCCTCTCCCCAACTCTCTGGACCACCATCTCACCCGTAGCCCCACGAGACAGTGTAGGCAGAGGGTACCGTAGCACATGTTGCCACCTGCCAGCATCTTAACATTGTTGAGGTCCATATAGGTCCGCAACCAAATCAAACCGGGCTTTCTCGTGTGTTCTTTGAAGTCGTGGCTGAGCATTTGGGCTCTATAACCTCCAGACGAAGTCCCACGGAATACATTGGGGGGGGGGGGGGGGGGGGGGGT